AGTAGAGATATAATAAATATCTTACTAACCTCGTTTTCTCGGTCCGTACTGTAAGTTACGGATCCTCGTTTTTCCCCCTTCGATTTATGGCCCAAGCGAAGCGCGCGGGCCATATTTCGAAGGGGAAAAAACGAGGATCCGTAACTTACAGTACGGACCGAGAAAACGAGGTTAGTAAGATATATGTACTAGTAGTAATTAAAGAGTAGAGCAGTGCGTTCACACGCGTATTTTGCATTTTTGGTTCACTTTGATGGCATTCGAAACTAAGTTTGATCGAATGACAGATACCGATCTGCACGTGAAGTTGAAGCCTGTGGCAAAAGTGCTTTTAATTAATTAAGTGTTAACTTGTACTGAAACAAAAGATTTTCCAGGACAGGCATTTCAACTGTTGGCGATTTTAGAATTCAGTTTCAGATCGCCAGCACTTGAAACAAATATTTCTTGAGAAAGTAAAGTTTTGACACTACAAGACAGTGCGTCGCTAAATGTTTCGTACGGTCGAATCTCGATTATCCGGACTTGTTGTGACAAGACGAAATAGTCCGGATAACCGAGGGTCCGGATAATCTAAAATATGAATATTAATGAAGAACAAAACTGATTAAATTAAGAAAGCAACATTTAATCGTGAACCAAGACTAAGGGTGTCATTTCGTTTCTTTTGTGATGCACATTTGTGGTGCCAAGTTTCAAGAACACTGCTTCAATATTTCCAGAGATGTCGAATATTCAGTATTTTACCAATTTTTAGTTGCAAACCTTATGACGTCATCACTGATCTAATTTGCATAATAGAAAAACTTTAGTATCTCTTAAACGGAAAAAAAGGTAATTCAAAAAGAAAAACGCCATTCTGTATTTTGAAAGGCCTTTCAAATAAGCAGAAATTATTTTTCATGTCATATACACTTTAACGTGTTTAACGTATTCAAAAAAGTGTTCTCAAACTGAAACAATCTGCAAATCTAATACTACACGACGAAAAGTATACGTCCTTTGTTGGCTCAGTATTCGTCTACAAAATGGGCGAAGGTGAGGGGGACGCTTATTCGTGGGGGGGGGGGGG